GTGCACTTCATGTTCCATGACATGGGTGAACCATGCCCATTTTCTCTGCCAATTGATTTCTCGATCTTCTAGCTCTCGGCAATCATGGGTCCCCAGCCATCGGATCTCTAGGTTGTTTGCCTTCTCGTCTTCCTTGATGGACCGTGCATATCCTCTTAGAATGGCTTGGACCAAGCCTTCTGGATATCTTTGAGCTTGTCGCGCGCGGCTCTCACCATGGCATTGTCCAAGAACAGGTACATGTTGATGGGCTCCATCACAACGTTTCTTCAGTTGCTCGGCAATCTCCTGCCGATTGGTGACCCAGCCGGTTCTCTTCTGCATGGGTTCCCCATTTGCATCATGTAGTCCATATTGGCATTGATCACAGGTGCTCAAAATACTGTCTTCATGTTGTAGGATCTTCTGTAGGGCTCGTTCTGTCCATGCTCTTGAGGTAAGCGGCTGTTCTAGTAGGAAGGCGCCTCCGTACTCCATGATCTGTGTGATGATTTCACATGCAAAGTTCAGAAGAATTCGGGCTTCCCTCAATCGACGACGGAAGTCCTTCTTCATCACGTTCATGTTCTGCATGATGCTGAACAAAGTGCAGGGCGGTGAGATCACTGTCAAACCTGGCTTGAGTTCCCGAATGAACCTCTTTACTCTATCTCTTTCTCGTGGATCAAGAAGTTCATCTCCAAGTTCTAGGTCAAATGCTGCCGATGCAATGAGTCCTGATCGGTGGCATTGCGGAGCGAAGCGCTTCGGGTTGAAAATCTCGACAACTGTCTTTGGGGATCCCTTAATCATTCTAGCATAGTGTTGGTGGACCCGCGTGTTGGACTTGATGCGCTCTAAGTTTTTCTCTATGGCACAAAGTGGCTCATCCTCTCTCAGAAGCGTCATAATCTCCATCATGTAGTTCTCTGCCATCTTCAAGGAGGCTTCCATCGCTTTCCGATTCTTTTCCCCAAGTTCTCGCCAAGGTCCCAGGCTCATCATTTCTTGTTTCCTCCAGTTCGTTGTTTTTCTTTCTCCTTCTTCCACTTCTGGTACTCGAGGAACTCCGCGAACTCGGTCTGGTCCTTCTGCTGATCTTCTCCTGGTTCCATCGATGGGGATTCGATCTCCTTCTTGATGGATGTTATCTCTGATTCCGATTTCCTCTCCGATTTCAGAGTCTTGCCGCACTGAAGACACTTCTCCACCGTGACAAAGGCATTGGTTCCTCGCTTGGATGTACGAGTATGCTTGCATTTCTCCATGTCGATCTCCTCCAACTCCTCTGGCTCCTTCTTGTTCGTCTTCTTCTTGATGTCCTGTGGAAATGCCTTCGGTAGTGGAGCCTTTGTCATCAGTTCGGGTGGCGTGCTTGGCGTCACAGATGTTGCCCGATAGCTGGAAGGACTCTTCTCTTCGGAGGCTGTTGGTGGTGTTTGGCTGACCGGGGAAATCGATCTGTCGGCTTCTGAGATCGTCCTGCTCTGTCCCGGGCGGAGTGCTCTCGGCCAAAGACTGAAGGCCTTGTTCCACCCATGAGGCTTGATCTGCTCCCACCCTTGATCCTCCATGTCGGTCACCTCGACATCGGTGTCGTCCATCGTTCCCATGTAGATTCTCTCCCCCATCAGCGACAAGGCCAATTCGGTCAGGCGGAGGATCACAAAAAGCATGCGAGCCACTAGTCTTGCCCAAATGCTGTCGTACTTGTTTTCCTCGATGCGGCTGCGCTTCATGGCAGTCGTCCGTCGGGATCACTGAGCTTGATTCAGTGCTTGGGCTTTTGGGTTCACAGCTTGAACCATGGAGGGCATCATTTCCGATTTTCAGCACCTCGAACTCGGCCGAATCGTTCCGCAACTGTTCATGTAGTTGTGTAACCGGTCAGTTTGATCCTTCGTGAATTGGTTGAGGGGAACTCGTAGTGCTCCTGTTGGACCGAGGTGGCAATCAACCCCAAACCCAAATCGTCGAAGAAACAATCGTAGTCCTTTTTGAGGATCGAGATAAAGAACCGACCGACAATGAAGTAGGAAGGGTAGTGAAATAAGAAACGGTGCCTTCTTGGATTCCCCTTCTTGAAAGATTGCTGGCCTCAAAACGCTACCTTTTGTGCCCAGACTCGTCGGGATGGATGCCAAATGTGACGTGGATGTAGTTCCATTCACCGACCGAAACCGATGTTCTTGAGGTATTCGTCCAACTCCCAGATTTTGTGGTAGTTGTCGGGCGAGACGGTAGAGCGTTTCTTCTCCGACGGCCATGCGTTGACATCCAGTGTCAATGGTTGCACATCCATCATCATGGTTAGTTCCTTCATGGTTTGATGTTGAACTTGTCTGACGACGATGCGACGAGGTCCTGCGGTGGTCACTTGGCTTATCATGATTCTCGGTTGCTCTCCCCCGCAAATTAGAATCACCCCTAACAAACAAAACCTCATGACTTACTTTCCCGATATCCCCCCCAATAGCAGCGCATTGGACCTTATATCGGGATTGAGACATGTTCATGTCTCCAGCTACATCGTGGGAGCTGGTCACCACTTCAAAAAGATCGTCTTGCGATCCACCCTCGGGCTCAGCTGGGCTTGAACTCGTTGAAGGTTTGGCCACCGACGGAGGCATCAACGGTGTTGTCACCGCATCCTTCTCAACGTCGGAAGATTCTGGCCATCCCTCAGGTCCATCATAGTTCTCCACCAAGTGACGATATTGTTCACCATTTCTCTCTCTTCTCTTTCATCTGGATCCGTGAGGAGGAACAACTTTTCGTCGTTGAACTCCTTCATGTCCGTCTCCTCAGCTTCAGGGAGCACTTCAAGATGTCCGCAGAAATAGGCCTCTGCGGTTGAATCCTTCGGCATCGCCTCCATGTAGTAGGTCTCCTTGACGTTGGTCTTTCCTCGACCCTTGCCTTCTGGACATTCTCGATGCCAATGACCGATTTTCTTGCAGATTGCACATCTACTGTTCTGCTTCAAGTGGTCGATCATCTTCCCTTTTCCTCCTTTTCCCTTGTCTTTTCCTGAGCCTTTCCAGCCGCCGAAGCCCCTGGCGAGTTCTTTGGCTTTCTTCAGCTTCAGGCTTTGGCTGAATGTGCGTTTCTGGTACATGGTGTTCAAGATCTCCTTGACCTCATGTTCATCTAGTACCTCTTCTTCTGCGTCATTTCCATCCTCTCCCAGGTCACCGTCCTCCTCTTCATTCAACTCTTCCAGGACGGCCTCGAGAATCTCGTCCTCGTCGTGGTAGTCCAGGTTCTCATCCGCATTGAGGTGGTGCACCGAGGTAGTCGAAGAAGTCCCGGCGGTAGCTTTGCTCTTGTTTTTCATGACCTCAATGCCGACCTCCTTCGCCATCAGCTTCGTCTCGTGTTTTCGAAGCCATTCTTTCACATCCTTGGTGGCGATGCTGCCTCTTGTGAAATTCATCATATTCTTGATGTCCTGGTCACCTAGATTCAAGGCGTTGATGAGCAAGAAGCCTTTGTAAGCATCTGGGAGGACCACTTGGTGAGTGGCCACCCGTCTCATGGCCTCTTCCCACCTGTTGAAGAACACTCGATGACCTTCAGTTCGGTCTCGTCGGATGTGGTAGGTCACCTTGGCCAACGAACTCAACAGATCCTCCTCCTTGTCTTCTCCGAAGTTCTCTGGCTGATCCATCGCGGCTAACAGGCGATGCCCTCCTTGTTCATCTCGAAGCCATTCCATGTCCTTGGCCCAATGTTTGAACGTGTGGAAGGCCACTCCTGAAAGACCTTGGAGAATCAGAGGACCCTGAGAGGTCTTTCTTACTTTTGTTGTCGCCAGCCATAATCTTGCTTTGATCAACCAGTCCTGGAATGGCGTGGAGTCACCATCCCATTCAGGCGGTTTCGCCGACGAGCCACCGCCTTTCCATTCATCATCTTCCTCACCACGTCCTCGTCCGCGGTCTCGTTCTCGAGCACGGCGTCGACGTTCTTGCACGAACTCTCGAAACTCATCACTGTCAAACTCGTCAGACATCCCGGCTCCTGCCGGGGAAAACTCCTGGCCTCGCACCCGAGACCTTGCTGATCCCGCAGCCGCGGGTTCACCTTCAACTCCATCACTACCATCACTTCTTGGCACAGGAGGTGTGCCGACGTTCGCCATGGCTCTACACGCGTAACCCTGGAGCTTGGTGCTCCGCTACCACTGTGGATAGCATGGCAGAGCGGTCATTTTGCCGCAGAACACAGGGTCCTCTTGCCCAGCTTGATGTGGAACGCGAACGGTACACTTCTCGATTGTGACGTGTTTTGGTCAAAGGAGTCCGATGCCGGATTCACAATTTCTTATTTTTCTGGGGCAGCTGGGCTTGATTAATGGGGTGGGTTTCTGGCAAGGAAAAAAATATCAGGGGGAGGTTGCAGGTTTTTAATGAGTTAGTATTGGAGGCTCCAGCTGGGCTTGATTAATAGGGGGGTTGGTTAATCCTCTGTTGCACGCTGGCCATCTTCCACATGTTTGTTGAATCCTCACCGTTTCAACAAAAAGGTTTTCGAATCTCATGTTAAGTAGGGAAGGGCAATTATATTTTCCCTGTGAAAGCTATCGATTCCTGGAGACCAACCCATCCCAGATGCTCCATTCATGACATCTCCTTGCCTACATGTCCAGCGGTTTCAATGTCGATAAATATGTGAGTCCCATCATGCCATGGAGGCCATGCAAATCCGAGACCAACTCATTGGCTGGCGACGCCACCGGCGGCGCGCCTTTTGGCCACCGACGGCTCAGGTTATGCCTATTTCGCCCCCGGCGGTGGCTGCGTGCGGACCGACCTCAGCTCCTCCTGAGGGAAAAAAGGAGGGTTGTGGCGAATCCATTCGCTCTGCCAGGGCCGTGCCAACAGAACTACTTCGATTCTTTGTTGTCCTCCAATTGAACATGTCGGTGGTTCAGAGGGTTTTGCTTCGCTCGAAACGAACCCAGAAAGCGAGTAACGGCGCGCACGACCCACACGATGTGATCTCTGCGGCACCGGCAGGCCTATGAGAAGTTGATCCACGATGTGATTCAGGGAGACCCCTGGCCGCGCTGTGTTTTGAAGCGACCGCAACAAGAGGATCGTGATGGGCGGACCTTGCGTCCAAAGGAGGGGAATTGACAATTCATTGAACCTCAGGATGCGTGGCGAGTGAAGAACCAGCACCCACTTGATGTTCTTGTTGGATCTTGTTGGATGAATTTGTAGGATCATGTAGGATCTATAATTTGGTTCCATTCCATGTAGCCAAATCGCAAGGGCTCAGGGGTCCTCCCATTCGGTAGAAACCCACTCCTTCCTCAGGAAAGCCACAACTTCGTGCGGAAAGACGAGCTGGAACAGGTCTGGCGGCCAGGGTGAATAGCGCTCGCATGGTCGGTCCGGCCACCGCTGGGGCGCGAACGGGTCGGTGCGTCATGGTGTTTGAAACCTGCACCCGGTGAGGGACGAGTAGACACAGAGTGCGTGGGGACGGACGGAACTGGGCAGAAAGGGGAAGCCGAGGCCGCACGATTGATGTTTGTCTTCTGAAATGACGATGACTGGGATGTGTAGGGGGTCATGTTCAAAGCAGAAGGCGTATGGTAGTGGACACATGGACAGTCTTGTACTTGGCCACCAAGCTTGTAATTCCATGGTTGCAAGGGCTACAGTCAAGCCAAAGGTTAGCAACAAAGGAACATTGGAAGTGCAGAAAGTGTGTACTTGAACCGTTCTGCTCATAAGATCCTCGCAGTCCTTGGGCTTCACCACAGACGGTTGACCCATAGCCACAGGATGCCATAGGTTAAGTAGTCGGTTGAATCCTAATCCCTGCCACTTGTCCTGTGCCAGCATACCTGGAGCTACAACAATCAAGGAGAGGAAGAAAAATGTCTTGAACATAATCCTGGAAAGAAACTCAAACTACCTGCCGTTGAAGGGAGGATTTGCTCCTTTGCTTTCCAGCCACATACTGAGGCATGGCGGATCTTTGATCCATTGCTGACGACTCTTGAGGAGGAAGAGGTGACTTGTGAACTTGTTCGTTTGTTTTTTTTCCCGCCCAGGCAACCGCGGCAATTGGTTAGGTGTGGAACCAGATTCCTGTGATTCCAACTAACTAGCATTAATAATGGCTTTATCGTCTTTGGCCAGAAACCATTGCTTGTACCCAGACATCCAGACTACAGAACCAGGTCGACCATTCTTTCAATCGTTTGGGAAGGCGGAGTCAGACCGAGCGTCCCTGTTCTTTTGGATATCCCACTTGGACCATGGAAACATATCCAGTTGCTATCCAGTTGTTCATTTTTGCGTCTGTATAAGACTCATTGATATCCCTGTGGATCATCCATTCAATGATCAAGGCGCATCGTGCGCGACGCAAACTTGTCGAAACACAGCAGGCAAGCAGCACGGCAAGAATATACTGCAATTGCTCACCCAGCAACAAATCATATCCTGTTAGGATGTGTCTCAGATGGTTAACGACTTCAGAGCGGCGACACTCCTCGTTACTATCACCTTTTTGCTCCTTCGTTTCGTTGGACTAGCTTCTTGTTCCTAGTAGCGTCCTTGCTCCTAGTAGCAAGGCCAGGAGCCCCTAGTAGCGTCCTTGCTCCTAGTAGCGATGCCAGGAGCCCCGTTCGTAGCGTCCTAACAAAAGGCTATCAGTTCTCCGTGTGTTGCTTTGTCACTCCCGATCCTCCGCATCGATTGTGGCAGAAGCGTGCGCCGGAGACCTATTCGCTGGGCAGCCGAGGGCCCTTGAAGGCCGGACGGTCGTTCAAACCCGAATGAGATGGACTGGGCAACTGAACATCAATCAAGTTGGCATCGCTCTCCAAATGAGGGCCAGAGATAGATTTCAACTTAAATGAGTTTGTTTGTCTTTGAAGTTTATATATATATTTTTTTCTCAGCATTTACAGGAGAAACTGAAAAGAATGCACTATCTCTTCACCATGGAAGCCTAAATCTTTGCAGATGTGACTCATTTCTGCGGCAACATTTCTCGTTGCAGAAGTGCCAGGGCACATGCCCAACTGAAAGAAGGATGGTTTTCGTTTGTGTTTGTTTTCCGGGGCATTCAACACAAAGAGGCAAATCAATACCTTGACGCTTCAAATCAGTACAGGGCTTGCATGTGGAGTTTAGTGGGCCAGTTTGCTCACAAAGACAAGGCTGGTCATTTGTCTCGAAACGAACCACTCGTTTGGAGTCCAGTGGCATCTCCCATCGGCTAACCTCCCGAATGCTTCGAGTCTTAGAGGCTCCCCGGTTCCGCGCGCGGAGCGACACGGGTGACGATGTCTAGGCCGACATGCTGATCGATCGCATGGGCTTCAGGCGAATGGCGTCCTGAAACACATGCGGAAGCACCCGGTTGGTTTCGGTTTCGGGTGGTGATGGGTGGTGGCTGTGGATGTGGCGTTCGTGGCAGTGATGACGAGTGATGAGCAGTGATGGGAGACATTCGTTGTTTACAAATATCTGCCCAAAAGATCTAACGGACAGCTCCGGATTTTTGATGATCTCCCTGCATCGTTCCCAGTCCATGCTCGGACCACGGAGGTGCTCGAACCAGAACCACCGTGGGTTAGACCAGGGTTTTGATGTTTGTGTATTGAACTCTGGAGACCAGGTACTGATAGTATGGGTAGACACCTTCTGGACACCCTGAACCCCAAGGTCAAGGATACATCGAATCCGATGAATTTTGAACGCCAAAAACGGTCGTATGTTTGTGTCTTTTGTTGCGTCTTCCTCGTCGGACCCGGTCTTCTGGAGGCGCTACACCGTCACCGGTGTTCCGGGCTTCGCGGAGGACGACTTCGATTGAGGACGAAGGGTTGTCGTGCTTCGTGGGCGGACGTAACGGCAAGTCACGGCGGGTCTTTGGTCCAGGCGGGTTTGGAGCTCCATGGGGCGGAGCGCGATTCTGAAAAGATGTTTTAATCACATTTCCCAGACACCAGACACTCCCCTATATGGTCAGATTATATATGCCTAAGTATATGCCTACATTATCCTACTTTGACCCCTGAAACCATCCCAATGTAGGTGTATATTCCATGCATGGAGTCATGCATGGAGTGTTTGGGACACATTACAGAAATATAGTGTGTGTGTGTGTGTTTGGGTGTAGACATGAACAGAGGTGATGCTGAAGGCTTGGAGAACATGAACGGTGTGTCAAACGGAGTTTTAATAATAGCCAAACTGTCAATTGAGTTTCATGGTAGGCTCTTTCAGGTGATAATGGTATGTCAAAATATGTTAAAGCAACCAAATAATGCTGCTTTGCAGTAGTTGAAGACTTCAATGGCTGTGGAGAGGGCTCATGTTGGAGCAGCTTCATGGAAGCAGAATCCAGAATCCACATTTATTTACTGAACTCAAAGTGGATTGGAAGATGTAAACCGATATCGTGTTCATGCATCACCACACCAAGACGGCATCCCTGATGTTTATAGCTGCTTATTACTATGTGTTCTGAAGTTGCAGCTCTCAGACCTTCAGGAGTGTTGAACATGCGGATCTCATCCACCGAGATCTCCAAGAAAAACCAGGTCAGGATCTCAGAAGACAAGCTCCAAGGTGTCTTAACCTGCCCGAACCTGTGGCGGGCCTTGCTTTCTTTCACCGGTGGGTTTGGTGTGCCTCATTTTAGCCCGATGAGAATTGTTGCTCGAGAATACAACTGTGTGAAGATCACCACAGTTCTTTTGGTGAATTTTAGAAGGGCCAGCTTGCCCACGGCATTCATTTTCCCAATGACATAACGACATGGGGTGGTTGGGGATATCTATATAGAACCCAAATTGAATCCGTTTTGGGGAGAGACAGAATCCAGTGTCCTTCCCTGTCTTTGCACGGCTGGTTTACGCCTGAGGCGCTTGAAACGCGACCGACGAAAGCGAGGAGGCGAAGATGGTGGGAGTCGGTGGGACTTGGGGCCAAATTGAACGGAAGCATTTGATTCACCTGGTTGAAAGCTGATTTCTGCTGGTGGATAAAACTGAGTTTGCTTACTGATTGGACATGATATAAAGGACAAAACAACCGATGAATCTGTATGATATTAACACCAAACAGATGGACACGCATAGTCCCGCATAGTTTGTGGGAAATGAACATGTCCCCTGAATCCTTACAGATGGAGTGTCCAGATCGAAATGCCTTGAGTCACGTGGCCAAGGACGTCGGAGCTCGGAGCTGTCCATCCTCACGCCTTCGGAGCTTCCGGGCCGTGACCGGAGGGTGCCGTGACCGGAGGGCCGGCGAAACAAAGGACGTGTGCGAACGGAGTCGTCGGAGACGGACAGGTGTTTTCAAGGAGGACGGAGGCATTGCATGAGTGTTGTTTCCTTGTGTTGATCAAGATGTTGGTCTGGACTGGGTGGAGGCTCTGCAAACCTACAGACTAACTACAGACTATAAATCTCACAGGTTTTGCGCCAGCTGCCAGTGGGTTGTTATTGATCCAGCCAATTGCAAGTCACTTAATCAAATTCCGCTGTTCACCTTGGTTCACCTGGATGCCTCCTGGACACCTCCCAATCGTGGCGAGTTGGTGCTGAAAGCCCGATCCGACACATCACCCAGCCAAGGGGCGAGCCATGCACGATAAAATGCCCATAAAATTTAAAGGGTACATATATATATATACTGTATATATATATATATTGAAACCAGTAGATAGAAACCATTCAAAGTCAAATATATTGAAACCAGTATAGATAGATGATAGATGTAAGAATATCAAGCGGTTGAAGCACCATGTTTGCAATCGCAAGTGTTCAATCGTAGCCCTTTGGCCGAGGATACCAAGCACAGCTGGTGTTGCAAGAAGACATGTTGGACCCAGCAATCGCAAGAACGACATGACATTGCAGGATCCACGGGAGAAGAGCAGACCATGTTGACTTGGACAGATGAACAAACATCAACATCAACTAACATCAACTCAGAGACTCGGACAGATGCTCAGTAACATGCTATGTAGAAAAAACAAACATGCAGTTGGTCAATATCCTTTGCTTTAATGATCCAGTGCTTGTTGCAGCTTATGAAAACTTGCGCCAGACTACTACTATTGGAGGAAGGTGTTCTTGTTCTCCTCCACCGCCCTGGACGATAAGTCTAACTCCTGAAAAAAGGTACAAAACACATCAAGACACTACTTGACTACTAGCCCTCACAACACTGTACAGTTGATTTCCAGTGGAGGTTGAGAAGCATTGACTTCCCCTATCTTAGAGTTCTTCAAAAATATCCACTTATCTCCTGAATGGCCGGCAGTTCTGCCGCCCGAGCGGCCGCCGCCTGGGCGGAGAAGCGGAAGGCACAGGTGTGGCCCTTGGGACACCCCAGCACGTGCATCTGCCCTACAAAGGGCGCAATGTGCGCAGCCAAATCACCAAATTGAACGTGAAAAATATCCAGAGTTCGTCACTTTGGCGCCCAAAGGTACTTCCTGGTATATCCTCTAGTTAATATCCTCGGATTCATTGATCCCCAAGTACTGGGACCCTCCAACAACACGCCGGTTGAGACCTTTAGTCGACTCTAACATTGATGCCGCTGGTGATCTTCATTTTGAGTGTACCCAGCCTGCAAAACGTATCAGGTGGATTGGTTACACAGTTTGACATTTGGATTTAGATCCCACCCTTGCCATCTCCACCCAAGTTGATTTTGTTGTTTCGTTTGAACAAGCTACTAAACCAGCCGAAGCAAAGCTGCAGGTGGAAGCTGCCAATGCGAAGAAGGCACAGACGCTTCGCGGCACTGGACCCACAGGATTGTGGCCTTCTCCTCCATCACCCCGATCACCCAATCTTTATCATAGAAAATCATAGATATCACTTTTAATTCACAAAATTACAACATATAATGTATTTGTGTTAGGCCGTTGATCTGTTTTTTTTGCATTGAATATATTGGAAACTCATTTGCTTGTCTTTTTAGAATCACCTTTCCCCAAGTTGTTTGAAAACCCCTTCTTGGTCCAGACACATCCACTCCCAAAAAAGCACACCGCAGTCTTTCCACTGTTCTGCTCAGGAAAGAGATGGGTGAAGTGACTTCGGATCACACCTTTAAGCCAAAGCTGAGGAGTCATTTGTGGTTCATCTCCGGTGACGGGATCTCGCGCGGGGTGGGCTTTGGATGTGTCATTGTACCATCAATACTAGGTTGGAGGCCAGTGCTATTTAGTTGGAGACCATCCATTGCTATTAGGTCGGAGGCCATTGCTAGTAGGCTGGAGGCCGTTGCTACTAGGCTGGAGGCCATTGCTAATAAGTTGGAGGTCATCGCTATTAGGTTGGAGGCCATTGCTATTAGGTTGGAGGCCATTGCTATTAAGTTGGAGGCCATTGCTATTAGGTTGGAGGTCATTGCTATTAGGTTGGAGGCCATTGCTAGTAGGCTGGAGGCCATTGCTATTAGGTTGGAGGCCATTGCTATTAAGTTGGAGGCCATTGCTATTAGGTTGGAGGTCATTGCTATTAGGTTGGAGGCCATTGCTAGTAGGCTGGAGGCCATTGCTATTAGGTTGGAGG